CTCTTGTGAGGCTGGTCTCTAACTCCTGACCTCAAGCAATCCTCCCGCGTCGGCCTCCCAGAGTGCTAAGATTACAGGCGTGAGCCACCGTGCCCGGCTTCATGGGTCATATTTTAAACATGAACGTTCTCTGGCTAGCTAATAGCCCACACTTTTAAAACAACTGGAATAAAAACCCGAAACACAGAATTTATTGAACAGTAATTGTGACTTGAAAGAGTTAAGGTAACTCCCCTAACATCTGCCCTATGACCAGAGAGAAGTTTATTCATCAGAGTACTTGGGCTGAAAAAAATTGTAGAAGCTTCTCCAGAATTAAATTTTTAAAGAACATTATGTGAAGGAAATAAGATCTTCACTAAAAAGGTAAAGTAGTATACCTGGGAATAAATTTAAGCCTTTATTTTGCCACCATTAATTACAGGAGACTTTTTAGATAACTGAATTGATGTAAGAGATATAAAATTATAACAAGAAATTTGCAGATTATTCAATTACGATCTCTTGTATTTCAAATGTTGTCTAATCTTGCTGTCTAATCTCTTAAGATTTTCTTTATCTTAGGCTCGTAAGCATTAATCATTTACCAAACTATAAATAGATTAAATGCTTTTTGGTTTATTTACCTTTTTTCCTTTGAAGCTGAGGGTACCAGGCAGCTCCAGGACCCCATAGTACAAGCACATAATGTTGACCTTGGGCCTGTTCCACTGTTAACATAACTTTCCTTTGCTTCTGTCCTCTATAGCTGTATAATGCCTCTGGAAAAGGAACATCTTAGTTGGTATTACTCTATCACATGTGATACCATACTTTAATATCTGATGACAAATATACAGTGATAACCAAACGGTACACTAAAATGGTCTTATATCTTAATTTTTTATAATTTAAAATTAAAAAGGCGCTCAAAATATTTACCTGTCAGTACAGTGATATCAATAACTTTTAGTAGTGCATGGACTAATATGTCAGGTTGAAGCTCCTCCAATTCTACAAACTCTATACTGTTCATTCTCTGAGGCTGCCTCCGAGGAAGATCTTTGAGATAGCAGTGTTTTGAAGACACATATGCCAGTAAGTCTTGAAGTACAACATCACTAACGATACTAGAATCTAAGGAAGAAAAACATACGCAAAGGATGACAACATTATATTTTTCTTAACAACACAATATTTTCTTAGAATTGTATTTCATGTTGTAAAGTGTGGTTAGATGTAAAATATGACTTCCTTTCTACAAAACACGTACCTTATTCTTTAATCAGTTTAGATGCAAAAAATAAAACCTGATATTTTTAACCAATGGAAGAATTATTTACCATCTCCAAAAAATTTGCTCTGTCCCCTCTTACTTCTCTATTTTGTTAATAATATCATTTTTCTAACAATTAACCAAGCTCAACATTTGTTATTTTTTGACTCTACCACCCTGATATAGCCATTTGGTTCCCCAATCCCTGGAGTCTGATTTGATCCTGCCTTTGCCACTCTTCCTCAAGCCCCTCAGCACTTCCAGTCTGGTACAGGCCAGGGGCCGCCTCACTGGGCACTCCGTACTCTACACAGCGGTAGGCCTGTGTCCGCACCGCCTTCCCACCACAATGATGTCATCCTCCTTTCCTCCTATCCAAATACCACACAGAATGACAACCGCTAGCCTCACAGTGCTTCCTCCTTCCTGGAATGCAGAGAGCTTTTTATCCTAACACTCATTTGGCATTTGCGCATGTGCTACTTTGTAACATTTCTCTTGATTATTGCATCAGCTATTTAATTCTTCAGTCATTACCTCTTTCAAATGTTTTTCTCTCAACTGTCTCAATTTTTTCCTCATTTTTTATTAAGGTATATTTGACATACAATAAAATGCACACATTTTAAATGCACAGGTTGGTGAGTTTTGTTGATTATATTTCAATTTTTCTTAAGGTAAAGGAGGTATGTTTGAATACATGATTGATTGTGGACCAAAAAAAGATCCTGACAATAAACTCAAGTGCTTTTTAGAAAGCAGACTCTACAAGCCGATTTATGATTCTTCTTTCCTTCTGCCATTAACATGCTCATGCTACACTCATCATTCACCCACTCTTCAGTGGATCAGCCACTATGTAGCAGGCATTATACTAGATGCTAAGGATACAAAGACAAATCACGGCACAATCCTGGCACTGAAGGAGTTAGGACCTGGAAGTGGACAACAACAAACCTGGGCATAGGGTATAAGAGATGCAGGTAAGCATCGCTAAGAGCACACAGAAAAAGAGTTGCCTGGGAAAATTGGAAAAGGAAGGAATATTTGAACTGAGTTTTAGGGAAATGTCTAAAAAGTTTTCAGGTAGCAAATAAGGTTGGGATACATTTGCAGGTAAAGAGAAAGGGTTCATGATCCTTTATGTACCATGGATGCTTTTGGTAGTCCATACAGACCCACTATTAGAGAAATATCTACTATATCTATTATAACAGCTTTATTGAGATATATTTCACATATACAAAATTCACCTTTTCATTCTTTCTTACAGGAAGGATGCCATACTATTAATACATACACTTTTTTGGGCTCTATGTGTATTTTTGTTGTTGTTGTTTTGAGATAGGGTCTCATTCTGTAGCCTGGGATAGAGTGCGGTGGCGTCATCATTGCTCATTGCAACATCAAACTCCTGGGCTCAGTTGATCCTCCTGCCTCAGCCTCCCAAGTAGCTGGAAATACAGATGTGTGCCACCACACCTGGTTAATTTTTCTATTTTTAGTAGAGATGGGGGTGTTGCTATGTTGCCCAGGCTGGTCTCAAACTCCTGGCCTCAAGCAATCCTCCTGCCTTGGCCTCCCAATATGCTAGGATTACAGACATGAGCCACCGCACGTGGCCTGAGCTTTATGTTTTTCATGTAACAGTAGGTCCTGGAAATGACTTCATATCAGTTCATAGAGATCTTTTTCATTCTCTTTTTACAGCTGCTTAGTATTCCACTATGTGAATGTACCATAATTCAGACAATTATTCTCCTACGTATGGGCATTTAGATTTGTTCCAGTATTTTGCGCTTACAAACAACACTGCAATAAATAACCCTGTGATATGTATTTTCATATTGTTGGTGGTGAATCTTCAAGATGGATTCCTAGAAGTGGGACTGCTGGGTCAGAAGCTAAGTACATACAGAATTTTGTTAGGTATTACCAAATATCCCTCCAGAAGGGTTGTGGCACTTTGCATGCCTACCAACAATGTGTAAGAAGGCCTATTTCCCCACAGCCTTGCCAAAGAATAAATTGCCATATTCTTTTAATTTTGACAATCTCATAGGTGAGAAATGATATCTCCATGTAGTTTTAATTTGAATTTCTCTAATTATGAGTTATATTTGAGGGCCATTTTTATATTATTTTTCCCATTTTCCAATCAGGTCCTTTGCTACTCAATTTTTAAAAGTTCTTCATATATTAGAGATATTAGTTTTTTGGTATATGTCATAAATATTTTCTCCAAGTTTGTCAGTTGTCTTTTGACTTTGTTTATGGTGTTTTAGTTATGCAAAATTTTATTTTTCTGTAGTCAAATTTATCAGTCTTGCCTTTTACAGCCTCTGGATTCTGAGTAATATTAAGAAAGACTTTCCCAGCCAGGCGTGGTGGTGTGCACCTGTAATCCCAGCTGCTGAGGAGGCTGAGGCAGGAGGATCGCTCGAGCCCAGGAGTCTGAGGTTGCAATAAGCTATGATCGTGCCACTGTACTCCAGCTTGGGTGACAGAGCAAGACCCTGTTTCTAAAAAGGAGGAGGAGGGGGAGGGGAAGGAAGAGGAGGAGGAGAAAAAAAGAAGAAGTGGAAGAAGTTAGCCTTTATCTCAATGATTTCAGATA